TTCCAGGGGTACACACATTTACTTGACTGCACTGGTTTGGTATCTTAATGATGAGGTGCAGTGTGGCGATGCCGATCCAGCACCCTGCTGGATTTCACATCTGTGTACTTGACTGCGATCTGCACTGCGCTGCAGGGTTTATAAAAATACAGCCCTGTCTTTAACCTTTCTATCACCATCTTTTACGTCACTTTTACGTTGCGGTTGCAGATTAGTGTCGGTAAAGGTGCTGACTTGAACATAACTGGGGTTTATATTGGCACTCGCAAAGCATAGGCAATATATGTGACTCTTCACATCATAATGTTGTATTTCAAAACATGGCAGATGTAAATGCACATATCAGTCCAAATTTGATCTGATCTAAGAACCTACACATTATAATTGATCTTCAGCCAGGTGTTATCTGTCTTTACATTACTTGAGGTTATGCCCATGTGGTACACTGTCCACATGCAGAGCAGCTCCAAACATAACTTAGAGTTGTACAATTTTATGTAAACAGAAACATTAGCAACAGTCTGGGCAGTTGTTTGTTTTTTTCACCCCACCTACTCTCCTGATAGCAAAGTGTAAAATGACATCCAATCCCAGTGCAGACAGATTGTTGACAACAAGAATACATATAAAATAGCAGGTGAAATATTTTTTTTCCCTTCAAGATATCCAGACTGCATTTTACTGGCAGGTGTAAATATCTCTTTTTTTTTCTATTTCTCTACAGACAACATTTGGATGTAGGATGACAACTTTGACACTCCTTCTGAAGCAAACAATTGCAAAAAATATATATTTTTGCATTTCAGCACATTGCTAATGAGCTCTAATTTGTTGAGTTTTTTTTTTCTTAAAGTCAAACTTAAATTTAAAATAAAGTTAAACAAAGAAGTTTTAGCTTCCTGAAAGTAGCAGATGCCCTGCAACCAGAGTACGAAGTGTTTTAACAGGGGTGTTGTGTCGAGCTGACTTGTGTTTGCAGTCGAGCCGAAAGCCCAGGACATCAATACTTACCCCACTATGTCGGTTTGGCAATCACCAATAAAGCGGATTGCAACAATAATGACTGGCTGTGAGCAGAGTACCAATAAAACAGACTTTTCAAGCACTGTGAGAATAAAAATGGGGATAGTCTGAACCCAATGTCATCTTTTTGTGGGGAAAAAGGTACACACGATTTCTTTTGCATTAAAATGAAGCGTTGGGGCGCCCGGTTGGCTCAGTGGGTAGAGCTGGCGACCCATGTACTGAGGCTGAGTCCTTGTGCAGGCTGCCCAGGGTTTTTTTCCGAATCCGACCTGCGGCGGCTTTTGCTTGCGGTCATCCGCCTCTCTCTGCCCCCTTTTCTTGTCTGTCTTCAGCTTGTCCACTATAATAAAAGGCAATAACAAGCCCAAAAAAAAAAAAAAAAAAAAAAAAAAATATTACTTAAAAAAAAAAAATGAACTTGTTGACTTCTGATACTGAGCCGGGTGAGTGAGTGAAATTGTTCGCTATCACAGAGAGCGTGGGTGTATGTAAACGAGAGCTTGCAAGAACATTAATTCACATTTAGACGTGTTTACTTTCACACTAAAATTGATACAGTACTCAAAGGTGTGTGTATGTGCTTGTGTTCGCAATCTGCAAGGCATTTGAAAGAGATTTCTTACAAGCCACTGAGAGAGGAGATGTGGCAGAGAGACCTAATATGTTGGTCAGGCCAAATTAACAAGCAATTGGTCATACCAACTAGAGCCGACATAAGATATAAAGATGTTAAAATCTGAAAAGAGGATGAGTGGATAGAAGTCATTTACATCTGCCGTTTTTATTAGAGAAAGAACAACGAGGAAGACTAAAGAATTACTGCAGATTGTAATTATGACAAAGAAAAATCCATTAACTCAGTGCAGAGGCTAGGTATCACAGATGTAAGAAACCCTGCTTTGTTAATGTATAGGAACTATACACCATTAATATGCAAAATTAAGAGACAAAATGTGAACTTTCCTAGCATTCACAGCAAACGAGAGTATGAAGTTGCGTACACAGGCAAAAACACACGAACAAACCACACACAAATGACACTGTATTCTCTGTCATTGAGAAGATAACAGCATCTGACAAGAATCTGCATACTGCCATATAGTTACGTTTTTATAAGAAAAAAAAAGCTTCTGACTTAAAAGAAAAGGCAAAGCAAGCGTGGATAGGTCGGAATAAGTTTGTTTAAAAAACACTTAATACCACGCTACCACGCACACAAAAAACGTTGTTGGCAAAAACAATCTATTTTATTTAATAAAGAACATATGAGGTTAACAGCAGCAACCACACTACAATCTACTGTGGTTAATCTGTCACAAACTAAATAAAAGTTCAGTAAAACGGAAGTATAACGTGAGTAAAAAACTGAGTTAAACTGAGTTAAAGTGAGCTAAAAAAAAAAAAGCTCACTGTGGGAAAACTGTGTGAGCCGCCTGTTATACAAAAACAAGAAGCAAAGAACGAGATATTGTAAGTCTGCCTGTTTGACCAGCTCACATCCTATGCTCAAGAGAGATCTCAAATACCAGGTCAACTGTTAAGTCAAGGTCAATAGTCTAAACAGAAGACAAATAGGTATAGTATACCAAGGTTTGGTTTGGCCAATTTAGCTTATATGGGTGCCTTTTTGTTTGAGACAATGTTCAACTTTTAGTTAATAGTTGGGTACGGCTGGTCTGCAGATCCAAAAGTCCAGGGCCATTTTTCATCCCCATCATACCTGTATGGGATTATGTTATGTTTGGTCTACCACCTAAAAGATATTGATAGTGAAAATAAAGGTATTTCATTTGTATTCACCAGAGTATTCAGCAAATAGCCAAAAATAAGTCAATAGGTTGATAAAGAGTGCACAAAAAGTACAAGCAAAAGAGAAAAGAAAAAAGTCTGATTTATTTATTTGCTTTTTGGAGGAGACGTTTTTTTATTGGCGCTTGGGGGCATTTCGACGTTTCACCTGGCACAGTTCGCAGTTTCCCTTCATTTTTCTATGTTGATGTCATCCTTCATCATAATTTAATGTTGTAACAAACTTAAATATGTGAGTATAGGTAAGAAGTATCAAAGCATAAATAAATAAAAAAAATGGAGAGACAGGAATGAAGACCAACTAAAACAACAAACAAACAATACGCTAATTAATGACGGACTTCAAAATAAATGCGAGGGAAATATGACACATCTAAAATTACCAACAGAGGTGTTGTCCTTTCTCTTTCTGTGCCAGATCAATGTGTGTTCATTATTCAGGCTGCTCTGTATGCTGTGCCTTACCACGCCACTAAACACATAACAAACACACACAGTCCTTTACTCCATTCTCCTTTTCCCCCTAATGAGTGAACCTCAAAAAATGGACACCAACACAACATCTCACACACTTGGTCTGTCCCCTTCCATCGCTCAGTTATCTCGCCTGCATTCTCTCCCGGTGATATTACACACACACACCAACACAACACGCACGCGACGGCACGCACACAACGCACAACACACACCAACAACACACCCACACACACACACACACACGCCAAAACGCACACACACGAAAACACAACGCACAACAAGATACTTCGACAGAGCCTTCCCTGATTTGGGATGCCCTTGTAAAACAACCATGCTTGGCTAATCTCTCACGAGCTATGCATGCAAGCATGCAAAACACACAAACCACCACACAACACACACACGCCAAGTGATGATACGTGTCTCCTGCTCCCGA